CAGTATTGACGCTGACAAATCCTGCCCTTTCACCTTCCCTGTCCCTGCTCAGTTCCGCCCAGATGCCCATGTCCCCTGTTCCTAGGCAGCTGGTTGGAAGCTTTGCTGGGAGCACAGCTGAATGGAATCCTGCAGCTTCCTCCCCCTCCGTTCCCTTTTCTTCCGGATTATTTTTCAGGTGGATTGAAGTCCCAGTCCAGCTCCTTAGACGCACCACTGGCCACTGGCATCACAGTGGAGGGAGCCAAGCTGGTGACAGGAACAAACAATGTAGAAAGGTTGAGAAGAGGGCAGGAGTACCTTACACCAGTATTTTTAAGGGCCTCCAACCCTTAAGGCTTTAAGCTTCTGTGTCAATTCAAGCAATTTCCAGCTAGCCCAGAAAGCAATGTGTGGGGACTGAAGCAACAACGACAGGATCCTTACGTCCCTTTGCTCCTCCCAGATGGTGTGCAGGGCAGAGCTGACACCTGGACCTGGATCTGAGAAAAGAAGAATTGCCTTAGAGATGATTTAAAAGTTAGAAGGAGCATGGTTCTGGCTGCCAAACCAGAAATCATAAATTCAAAGGCGTGCTCTGAGCTGGAATAGGATGCATTTAATTCCCCGTGCCTGTCGTCTGTAGCCTGGCCTGCTGATGGTTTTAGTAGCGATACTATTTTTATTATTCTGCCACTAAACTGTTCGGGATCAGAATTTGGTTCCTTTAGTCAAAATGACAAGGAATCAATTTCTCTGTCTTAAACTGCTTGTGAGAGAAGTGGTCACTCTGGCACAAGTAAAACTAAAAGGATTTCTTCCACAGCTGAAATATTAGCCAATCAAGCCTGGAAGAGATTTGTGGATACTAACGTAGCCACTGGAGGGCAGCTGTAAAACTCACAACTGCTCTTCTATCAGCTAATCTGTCCACGAAGGATACATTTCAGGCTTATCTTGTTGCAGCAAACGTTTCCCTTTTGCTTCCCTACATTCCTTTTCCTCTCACTCCATTCTTCTCAGATCCAGGAGCTTTTCAAACATCCAGGACATCAGCTCCCTCTGCTCACCTGGTAGCCAGCAGCAGTGCAGCCGATGCTACTGGTAACACCAGCTTGGACAAATGAGTGTTTGTCCCTCATCTCCAAAGCATCTGTCTACTCAGTCTGTGCACCGAGTCTCCCCACTCCTCCTGCCAGAGGTGCTTCCTCTGTAACCCGACAGGGCACTGAGCACGATGGGCAGTTTGGATATTCAGGATGAAAAGCCTTTTACAGCTCCAAAAGCTTCTTCTCAGGGGGCTGAATGTGTGCCAAGCAGTGAAAAGGGGGACACAAACGTCACACGTGCTGTGGTAAAGATCGGCTGTGGCACGTTACAGCCTGGCAGGAGCTGCCAAACAGTGGTAGAGCCACCAGCAGCAGAAATGGCTGGCTGGTGAAACCAGTTACCAACAGCAGGGCAATAGTGGTGATGGGGCAGGCAGGGGTCTCAGCTGATGGACAGCCTGCTTTTGTAGATGGAGAGGGAAAGGAGTGTTCGGGAGAGGCACGCAGAAGACAAGAGGATGGACTTGACGGTGTGTGGAAACAAACCCAGCAAAACAAAACAGCAGAGACTTCTGTGCCAGCTCCCAGTGCTGAAGTAGCCCAGCACTGGACCAAAAACCACACTGGAGCTGGCACCAGGGAAGCAAAGAGAAGGCAAGACAGGCCCACCGGCACCAAGGCTTCGATCAGAGCGTGGTGTCAAGGCACTGGGGTTCAGGAGCTCGGTACCAGCTACCCCCCGACTCAATACAGAGCAGGGATGCGATCATCTGAATGTCTCTGGGAAGCAGCTGTAGGCATTGCACCTTAAGAAATAAAACAACTTCCAACTTACCATCTTAGGAGCACCCATTTCGCCGCCCCTCGTCTCCCCATGAGGGGTGGGAGCAGCGTTTGGTGGCTGTTGGGGGGAGGCAGCCGCATCCCTGAGGAGCCCTGCCTGTGCCGGGGGGACGGCAGCTCCACGCTGCTGGGCTGCGACTGCCTCAGGGTTACTCGCTGAATTACACCATATGCCATTAAATCATTCCACATTAGACAAATCTGTGCTCTGGATGATTTCCCTTTTCCGGCACGGTTGAGTGGAGATACAAACACACACAAACACTCTCTTTCTCTATAATTTTCCTCTGCGTGGTAGATGAGACCTGAAAAAATAAACACTCATGTTTCCCTATGGGCTATGCTGTTCCTCTAACTGGTGCTTTTGTTTGCCAGCTGTAGCACATCCCTTCCAGTCCGGTGCCTTTGCTGTTGTCACTGTGATCCCTATTGTATCTCTTCGGTACTGCCCTGCAGCAGGGTGGGATGGTTTCCACTCTGCTCCAGTTAAGCAGTTTTTTACTTTTTTTTCTGGCACCAATAGCTGTTTGTAAGAGTGAGGCATAGGTATAAACTAGATATCATCGAAAGGCCTCGAGAGCCTCAGTCTAGTCTGGTCCTGCTCTGCTCTGCTTGTCGCTGTGCTTGGCAATTTTAAGAAATTAGGTTCTTCTGACAGCTGGGATGTTTTTCTTCTTTTCCAGACAATTTCAACCAACTCGCACAAGTCAGACTAATTGCAGATGTACTAACAGGCTGTGATACCGTCACTACGCGGTTCAGCCGGTTCGCTGTTCCGGAGGCAGCAGTGGCGTGGTGGGACAGCGTGTGCCAGCCAGCCCCCCCCTCCCCGTGCCTTCAGATCAGTGACTGCCTGTGCCGCCGTGTGCCCCATGGGAGAGGTAAGGGCTGTGGGGAGATGTACAGCGAGGTGCTGGTTAGAGGAGACAGGACACAAATTCACAGGAAATAACATTTCATTGGTTTTGCTGTCTGTGGGATGCCATCCTTTACAAGTACAAATAGGTTAGCCTCTCTTTTTAAATCCCCTGTGTTACTAGCTTCTGGGCATTGACTGTTCCCACACAACCCATAGGGGACAGAATTGCTGTAGGAAAATGAAGGGGAAAAATGAGTCTTTAAATTGACCTGCAACATCAGAGAATTTGAAAAACTGTGGGTGTTTTTGTAGAGCTTTTATATCATCACCCTTTTCAACTGAGCATCCTGCATGCTTTATAAATATTAATTAAGTCTCATGTGGCTCCTCTGAATTACACAAAGACAGAATTGCCTCATCCATCAGAAGAGAGGATCCAGAAGCTGCTTAACAATTTGAGAGAGCATTAAATGACACCATCTCAATTAATAAGAACATAACACCTGATTCAAACTTCTGGACGGGATCAAAATTTAAGCATCTTGACTATGTTTTTCCAGCCTGGCAAAAAAAGTAGCGTTGGATCATGAAAGGCTACGTGCTCTTCTGTGCCTCCTTTTGCTTTGTGCGAAAATCTTGTCTCCCTGGGTAAACTTTACCTGCGGTTAGGATTTTGGAAAAGAAACGATCTAAAGAGAAAATTCTTATAAAATCCTCATCCTTTCTCTCAGTCCTAAGACATTATTGATGGCTCACAGATGCTGACACCAGAAACTGCTGGAAGAGAGGGCTGAAGCAGAAAGATGGAGGTGCCGGTGGAACACAGCAGTTAAGGGAACTCTGTGGAGCTGGGAGCAGGACAGTGATGCCAGGCACAATGTGGAAACCTCATCAGACAGCAGAACAGCGTGATTTAAAGGTTTGTCCATGTACTATCAAGTACACAGAGGATGTTGCTTGTTTGGGGAAGGAATTTCAAGATTATTCCCAGTCAATAGGATCACAGAGGCTCACCCAAAGAAATGAGATAAGAGCAAATTGCCTGCCAATTATTTACCAGGTGTTAGATAAATTACTTACTACACCCAGCTGAAGAATTTAGGTTTGGACTCTAGCTCATTAGAAAGTTTAATTCAAAGTAGAGACTGGCACCTAACAAATACAGATAGGCATCAGTTAGTTACTCAAATTTCTCATCTCCTATTGAAATTATTCTCCCTTTCTCTTTCAAATGCCTGAGAAAGGCACTGTGGAATATTTGTTTCTCCAGCTGGACTTCCCAAGATATATCTTCTAAAGCCACTCTGGATCAATGGTTGATGACTGCAGACCAGGATAAAATTAAAATACAGTGCAAAAAATTATTTATGTTGGAAAATTCAGGGATTTTTTTTTGTGTGTGATATGCCAGATATGTCAAGGCAATCTTGGAATGTTCTAAGATTTCAGTGAGTACAGAAGGCATGCTAAAGATATTATTTATTTCTCAGTGCCTCTAACTGATCTTTCACATAGAAATTAATTATGGAAAAGAACCTGTACGGCCTGGTGGGCTTCAAGCTACTCATGAACCAACAATGCTTGCCCAGGCCATAAAGACCAACTGCACCATAAGCCATGTTAGCTAGAGCCTGGGTGCTTCTTTCTGTCTACTGAACACTTAAGAGGCCACATCTGGAATAATGTGCTAAATTTCCCCTCCCCTCCATCCCCAAAACAAAGGCTTGCTCTATTCTGCTCTCAAGAGACAACAGACACAAGCTGCAAACAAGAGAAATTTCTATAGGATACCAGGAAAAAATTCTACAGTGAGGGCAGTGAAACCCTGAACAGGCTTGGAGTTGGCTGTGAGAGCTCTGTCCGCGGAGGTGTTGAACACCAGACTGGAAAAGGTGCTGAGCAACCTGTCCAGACTGGCCCTGCTGCAAGGCAGTGTGGGGTGGTGCTGGACCACTTGACTTCCAGAGGTCCCTTGCAACCTAAATTATTCCATTATTTTGTTCCCATTGGGAACTGGAGCAGCTCTCTAGGCTGTATTTAAACAAATTAACAGACATGAACAGCCTTTGAGACACCAAGTTTTGTGTTTCTGTAAAAATGATGATCATTGTAAGATCCTGACTGTTCTGCTTTTTTTAAAATGTAAAAGTCGAACTGGTTTTCTTATTTGAATTCATTTCTTCACCACATATTAATTCACCCCTGCTGATTTTTAATCTACTGTGAATTTTCTGGCTTTGTTTCTTGCAGAACTTCTTTAGAAGAGCCCTTGTAAAGAATTGCATGGTCTTTGAATGGAAATGAAAGGTAATTCAAAGCATAGATCTGTTAATCCTGAGAGTCTTAGTACTACCTCTTAATATACATCGGTAAAATATGCAAAGTTATAGTAATAAGTTACAGCATGGCTTCAACGAATCTGTTATTAATTCATGCAAGGCACACTACAAGAAGACTGATGAAGGAGGAAGGAGGTGAAAGTGAATTTATTCCTACTTAAACGGTCCCAGTTCAATGAATTCTGTGCATTCTTGGCACGATAACCCAATCAATAATTGGCTCTGTGAAATAAGAGGATTGATACTGTTATAATGCATTTCATTTTACAGCAGTTGTTTTCCTACACACAATATTTGTACAGGAATACTAACAATACTTGACTAAGTAAGTGAAAATGAAGTCAATTATTAGGTAGATTTCTCTGTGTTCAACCTCTGTAGGATCTGTATATCTTGGGAAGGTTTTTTCTTGCTTTTTTTGTGTGTATAGCAATAATACATAATTAACATCAAATAAACACCGATCTCTTGTCTTTCCAGTCAGGAAAAAAAGAGGCATGGCAGTACATTGCAAAGAAACAAATGGCACTCCGGGTAAAACACAGTTCTGGGAGCTTCTTAGGTAGGTTATAAATTTCCCCTTTTTGTTTTTAACATTAGCAGCTCCCCTTACAGTTAACAATGTGCCAGCAGTGTCATTAGAAACCTCTGGTTCTGATTTTTATATATAAACTATAAAAAAATTTGCTTCAGGCTTCAAGTTTGGTTTCTAAGGTCTTGCCCATGAGATCCTGTAAAACAGTTTATGAATTCATAAAAATATGTTAGGCTCTGCTCCAGCTCTTAGATTCAGTCTGTTGAATCTCCACCACAAAAGTTTACTAAATATGTTAATATACTTTTAATAGTGAATTTCTTATGAAGCTTATTATAAACTTGCTATCAGAGTTTCTTTATAGCTTTATTTCTGCTTATCACAAGTTAAAAAGAGATCTTGCTGTTTCTGCTGCTTTAGAAATTGATTCTTGACTCGGATAGTCAACATGCGCCGAAAGGTTACTGAGTGCATGTATACTTGCACAAGTCTCACATTTCCCTTACTTCAACCTCTCCATTCCGCTTATTTTAAATACTTCTGGAAGGAATTTGAATGACATGAGCTAGCTGGCAGGGATCTTTAAACAGTGTTACTGTACCTACAGAATCTCACTGGGGAGGATTTTAATTCTGCAGAGTATCTCTCCAAAGTAGTTGAGGGAATCAGGTTTCCAGAAGAAGGGTGAGAATTCAGGATTTTCATCTGCTCAGAAGAGCTGAAACAAAGCGAATTACCCATGGTATTGTAGAGTTAATAAACACCACTCCTAACGTGACTGGTTTCTGTGAAGTACAGAAATACAGGATTTGTCCTGCTGGAAGAAAAACGACAGCTGCCAGGGGCATGTGCTAAGACACAAATCTAAGAAACCCCATAGTTAAATAACTCACCCAAATGGGAAGTTTGTTCCCAGACCTCCAAGCTCATGGCTGAGAACACAGGCTGAAATTCAGGATAACTTTTGTTGTTTGATTTTGTGTATCCCTCAATGCTGTGGCATCAAGAGATGCAATGAGTTTCAAAGGCTCATTAACGTTTGTGTGAATTGCTCCTGCCTGGGCAAACTGACGTACATTTCCTCTGACCAGCTTGCAATGGGCTCCATATTCACAGTAACTAGATTATCTCCTTCCTTTCGTAAGGATATATGCAGGAGGCCTCTATTTCCCATTCCGCTTGCCACTTGATATTTTACCTGTTTTACTACTGTATCTCCCCCTCTTCCCTTTTAACTGCTATTCCTGCTCTGCAGCTGATCCTTTGGATTAGATGCCGGGGTGCCCATCAGTGTACGTGAAAAAGATGTTTGGTGGTCTATACAGAAGTGAAGTTTATTATTTATTGTTTCCAATAGTGAAATTTATTGTGAAGTTTATTGTGAAGTTTATAGTCAAATCTTCTCACAGGCTGCTTTTGAGTTGTGAGGCATAGGATTACACGCTGTCCCAGACTGCTGCAGGAAAATTTTTAAGCAAATGCCAGTACTATCCTTTACTTCTGCAATAGAGAAGGATTTAAGTAATGATAGGAAGTGAGACTCAGTCAGTCAAAGGAAGCCTAATAGGAATCAGCTCATGCTCAGTGATGAGATTTGGGCAGCGTGGATGTGCCTTGCATGTGATGGCTTTGTGTGTGCAGGAACAAACAGCCCCTCCTAATCCCCCTTCATCAGGCTGTACTGTGAGCCCGTAAACTCGGGTGATGTTACAATTTCATTTTCATAAAGCAGCATTATTACCTGCTGCCAGATATAGGAAGGAATTAGGACTTCTTTCAAAAATCGGTTTGAATTCAGAAATATGTTGTTCTCTCATGATTTTATTCCCCTCTAGCTTCTCCTCAGAAACACCCTATGAGTGTTTCATCGGTCTAACAGGCTGCAGAAGTCCCTGTGCTCCTTCCCAACAGCAGACTGCAAGTGAGAGCCACCGGGTCAGACCTCTGCCCGGTGTCACCCGCACACCATGAGTGCATACCTCCTACTGACCGTTACACTGGCCGAAACACCTGAAAGGTTTTTCTCTCCCCACTTGTTCAGGCTTTAGGCCCCTGGGTTACATTCCTGACTTGGCCACTGAAGTGGCATGTTCAGTAACTGTAATTGTCCATGCAGAGAACTCTGCAAACCATCCAGGACATTGGAGGCACCTAAAACCCTTCTTCCTGTGAAAGAGATTATGAGGCAGAAAGACAGATTTTTCTTGTTACTATTAGCTCTGTAATAAATCCCTATTTACATGTTTTATGAAGAAAGTGGGTTTATATCATTTCTTTCAATATTGCTCATGTAGGGAACTGTCTGAAAGCACTAAGTCAAATGATTCTGAGAGGAAAAATGTGGGAGCAGATTTCTTGTCAGTGGGGTAAGGAAGAGGGCAGGAGGTGAGGTTCTGCCACCAGGACTTTACAATACCTGTCTGCTAAGGTTAACAAATTCTTTAAACCACATCTCAAGTTCACCCTTCTGTAGAATATTAAAAACCACCTAATTGAATCATGTAAAATTGTGTCCTCTAGCGAGACTCTTGTGATTGCTGGCACAATAAGGTGCTCTATCCCTGAGTGCAGAGGTAAAATTACACCAGTGCAGGACCACAGGGTTGGAGGGGGAGGCTCTGCTGAGCAGAGATGGGCTTCAGGCTTATTTGTGCACAGCCGTAAGGCAGGAGCCTCCCCAGTGAGTCTCTTTACTGTGCCAGACTTTACAGCACTTCAGAAAGACCTGTGTTATGTTGAATTCATCTCTCTGCATCTGCAATGGGACTGCGAAATACCACGTTCCTAGTAAATGCCTGTGAAAAATCTCTTGTGACTGACCTGGCAGCTCAACAGCAAATGATGCCGACCGGGCTAGTCCCCATCTTTAGAATAATCTGAAATAAAATCTGAGTTTTGAATGCATATTCTCCTTGAATCATCAAGATAAACACCTGAAGTTTGTGGTAGCACCTTGGGTCCACCAGTAATAAAATATGTATGTGAGCTTGTGCTGTCATTTCCTTTATTTCTAGTAAGACTTTACCTGGTGAAAGCAAGCAGAGAAAAAGAATGGCCAAAGTGATAAATTGATGTGTTGGAAAGTCAGTAAACCTTAGCCACAGAGTCCTTCTTGTCATAGGCAAGTGATTTAACACTTTTATCCCTTAGCTTCTGCTAGCACATTTTGAACAGATCATACTTCTTCACCCAACCTTACAGCGGTCACCTGCAACGAAGAGCCCAGCAGTGGTACAAAAATCACCTCTACAAACAGGACACAGGCCTAGCAAGAAACTACAAAGAAAGCTCATGTACTCATTGCTTGTAATAATCATTTATCTCCAGCAATAGATGCAAATCAGTGTTTTCCCCCATGGCAGTTCTTACCAAAGGCTTTCCTTGAAAGGAAATCTTAGGCATGGAAATGAGGGTAAAATGCTTGATAGTCCCTAAGGTTTTGGAGCATTCAGTTCCTTTTAAAATTAATGGAATTTGGTCTGTAAATCCCTTATGTGGCTTTGAATGTCCTGCTTGACTACTATTTAAACTGCTGAGGTATACTGCAAACCCCCCCCAGGAGTGGGAACTGGCAGGACCTCCTGGGAGTTGAGAATACCAGGAGTCATCAAGAAGGAGGATGTGCTCCTTCCCATGTATATGAAATGCTTCACTTTCATAGCTGCAAAGCCACAACAGTTACAAATCTTCAATGGCACTCGCAAGTCTTTCATTTCATACTTTTATATGAAGTCTTTGATTAATTAATTAGGCAATTATCTTTCAATGGCACTTTTCCCACCCATCAGCTGCTCAGGGTTACACATGTCCCTTTGGTTTTCTGCTATGTGACTTTGTTCGAGGACCAAACCTTCTATTTTTAATTTTGACAGTGCTTAGAGACCTTCTTTACCCCAAGACTACCATGTCTGCACTGCAGGGTCAACATGTAGCAAAAAATGGTGTTCATGGTAGTAACTGTGGTCTGAAAGATCTAGACCCAGCTGGGGGAATTAGTGGGCATTAATGCCATAATAATCAGTGCGGTAATTATTAAGGCCACATTTCATGTAAACTTTGCAATGTGATCTCAGACCGGGAATATTTGGGTACCAACTGGCAATTTTCTTGTAGCTTTTGTGAAATCTACTTAGATGTCCACAATACTGGTTAAAATTAAATATTCCAGATTGTTCTATGTGAAGGGGAAGTACTGCATATTCATTGTGGTGCCTGCTTTGAAGGTGTGACTGAACAGATTGTGTCTTGTCTGGTTTCCACCACTGAAGACTGCTGCAGTAATAAACGTGATGTTCAGAACCACTTGTAACAGGATAAAACAACAGAATAAATGTTAGGAAACCTTGGTATTTGTAACTTCTGGAAAATCCAGGAGCAGAAAAATGCAACAGCCCTAGGATGGATCATGCTACCAATGACAGGCTCTAAATAGGACTTTTTAAAACAGCGAATTGTTTGATCCATGCAAATCTGTCTCCTCATACCAGAGGGAATATTCCTTGGTGCAGCTCTCTTTTGGGAAATCTTACAGTGTTATTCCCACAGTGCTAGCCATGATTTTTCTCCATCAAAACACTGATGAACAATGTGAAAGAAGCCAGCACACTGTGATGAATTGTATAAAATCAAACCAGCAGCTGATAACTTTACATTCTGCAGAAGAATAGGAGAATTAGAATTGAATAATATTTGCAATTTTGTATCTTTTATGCTAGGTTTACAAAATGTTCTATAAGTTTGTTCACGTCCTTGCAATATGTTAAATATTTTTATTCTAAAGTGTGTTGGGTCTGTGTGTGTGGCGGGGTTTTTGGCTGCAGGGGTGACCCATGTGAGAAGCTTCTAGAAGCTCCCCCAGCTCCAAGCCAGTTCCACGTCTGGCCGAGGCTGAGCCAATTAGCAAGGGTGGCTGCAGATCTGCAATAACATATTTACAAAGGGAAACTTGAGAGGACAAGGAGGTGTGAGGAGGACATCTATGCGAACACCGAGGTCAGTGGAAGAAAGGAGGAGGAGGGAGGAGGTGCACCAGAGCAGAGACCCCTCTGCAGCCCTTGGAGGTCCACAGTGTAGCAGATGCTGACATGCATCCCATGGAGGACCCAATGCAGGAGCAGGGGAAGAGTGTGATGAGTCCTTCCCCTGAGGAGGAAGGAGCAGCAGAGACAACTGGTGATCAACTGAGCGCAACCCTCAACCCCTGCCCTCTGCACTTCTGGAGGAGAGGAGGTGGAGAAATTGAGAGCAAACCTGGGCCCGGGAAGAAGGGAGGAGTGGGAGGAAGATATTTTTAAGATGTGGTTATACTTCTCACCATCCTACTCTGTTTGATTGGTAAATTAAGTGGTGGTGGTGGTCAAATTAAATTGATGCTCCTTTTCTTCCCCAAACAAGCCTGTCCTTTGCCCATGACCATGACTCGTGAGTGAGCCTTCCCTGTCCCTGTCTCAATCCCCGAGCCTTTGGTGTTATCTTCTCCTCCCTCTTCCTGAGGGGGGAAGAAATGAGTGAGCAGCTGTGTGGTGCTCAGTTCCCCTCTGGGCTCAAACCACACCACCATGTGAGGGGCAATGGTAAATGGAGTCAATTAACTCAGAGACACAAGAGAGGCCTGAGGATGCCTGGAAAGTCAGAGGCAGAGAATGGAAACCAGCTACTGTAGCTTCTAACCCGACCCAGTCTGCCAGCTCTAAGGAACACTTTGTATATGCTTGATACTATCCATAAACCATGTGTGTGTTACCCTGTTCACAAAGTCTACATTTGGAAGATGTAGATTCAATGTTTTGCATGTTAATTCACTAAAGACTTTGCACTCTCAAGCATAGGTTCTCTTACACAAATCAAAGGGAACTGCTCCCAGCTTCGTAAATCTTAAATAAGTTTTTGGTTAAAAACCTAATGTAGAACAGGGGAAAAGAAAATTGGCATAGTTTGGGTTGACCTTCCAGTTCTGAGAGAAAACTTTAGAGGTGTCAGTGATCTAATTATGCTTTAATTACCTGTACAATGGGACATGGATACTTTGGAATATGTGTTTCACTCAAGCTAGGATCAGAAGTAGTCATATAAATGATGCAAAGAATACAAAATACGATAGAATAAAGCATTTCTGTGAGGCAAATACTCTGATGTCTGATAACTTAAGATCAATAAATTAATATACATTGATTAAAACAGCTCAGAATATCCTGTAAGACCTAATCAATCGAAAAGTACTTACAAGTAATAATTCAGTCAGCTGGTGAACTGAGCGCTAATGATGAGCAAGGAAGACTCCCTACATTTGTGAGTTATTAGCTGAAACATATACTCTGGTACTGAAAATAATTGTCTACTAATATATATGAAAAAACAAAGTGTGAAAAAAAAATTAATCCCAGCAAGTTTTCATGTAGTTGAGGGGGATCTTACAGAAAGCTGGTCTGTGAAGCCACGGGACAGGGGTGACTCCATGCAGACCTTGGGTAATCAAGACTAGGCAGAGGATGAATAATATTCCTGAAATTAGTCCCTTCCCAAGGCAAGGAAGCATGGGAAGGGAAGCACAAGCTGCTGTTGGAGCACAGAGGTTTGTTTTCATTGTGCTGGAGTACCTAAGATGCCTACTGCAAACTCTGGCATTTACAGCTGAGGACATTTCAGTGGTCAAATTTAAAGGTGATGAGTGTGGTGCTTATCTACATCCAACAGGAAAACGGCATTTGTTTGCCCATGTAGGGCAAAGTGATCATAATCATCAATGTGTGACATATGGTTGCCTATTCTCTATGGTAAGTCTTTCCTAGAAGCAGACCCAGCCTGAAAGATTTGAGTCGTCAGCTATATTTCAAGTTCTGCAAGGCTCAGGTATGCTGAGGTTTGTTATTTATGGTTTGAGCCATTCCACTTACAGCA